GTGGGTGTAAATATTTAAATTTGAATAAACGAGTAAATAAGTATGACTACCTACAAGTATTATATTATAGTACAAGTCTGTACTTTAAAATTTTACAATATTTTGTCTATGATAACATGAATAACTGGATAGAGCTAGATAAATAAAAAAAAAATTAATTTATTGTAACGGAATATATAGGCCTATTTTCTATGAACCAGTAGGTACAGGGTTTTATTTAGAGCTTTATTGTCTTATACAAACTATGAGAACAAATCCCATAATTGTCTTTTCTGACACCCTAGAGATGAAAAGAGTGGTTGATATATTATATTTTTCTCTCTCACTACATACTTTGTTAGCACCCTTTGTAGGAAGAGTTTCGAACATATTCACCACGAAAAACATGGGTAGAAAACGATAAAAAGTTTATGTTTAAATATTTATATCGTATTTGGGTTTTATACCTAAAAGGTACAAGAAATTTGTTATGGTGCTACTTTGTCCGTCTGTTCGTCCGTCGATTAGTCCGCCACAGCACTATATTTTAGCACTTATAATGTAGATTTGAATTTGGTATAGTTTTACATATTGCCGTCCCATACATATAGCAATAGAAATAATTAATTTCTTTTTTTATTTGCAAGGTAATTAAAATATAGCGCTCAAAATTTCAAAACTCTGAAAGTTTCCCACTAGTTCAGGTGGGGTATCATATGAAAGGGCTTGATTTTGTACATTTTAAAATAGATTTTTATTTATTTTTATGCTGCATACTGTTCTATTAAAAAATCTGTGATAAAAACCATTCACAATTCCACTTTAGATATTTCCGAAATTGGTGAAGTGAAAAATCTGAAATAATTACAAAATGTAAAGGTATATGAATATTAAAGAAAAAATAACAAAAAAATGTATCTTACTAGCGCTATTGTTGTTGTAAAATCTTTATTGTACATAATTATTACTATTTTTAAGGAATTATCAAAAACTTTCAAATATAAACTTAATTATAAGATCCAATATAATTTACTCACAATTTTTACATACGGATTTTTATTTACCTATATTTATGTACAGAATTCTGAACGTGTGAATTAAATGCGCACTTGACCGGTTTTTAATTAATATTTCATTCACAAAATTTCTGTTCTAATAACATCTTCTACAATATATGTAATTTGTTAGTTTTATGTTTGGTTAAAGATTTCGATTTCGCCATATACATATAATACATGTAATGTAAAACTAATTGTTACTCGATGTCAATTAACTGAAAGCCTTACACGTAGCTATAGGATAGGGTAAGGAAAAGTAGTTTATACCTACATTATTCTGCTTAGATAATAGGATATTAGGTTACGGTTGATGTAGGGTACGTCGCCGACCGGGTGTTATTTATTGGAAAAAAGTCATATCAAGTTTGAAATGATTTATGTGGGGTCGTATAGTTGTTAGCATTAGATGCAAATATGAATTCTATCTGTCTAAGATATAATATTATAGATAGTTATACAGTTACAATATATTTACGTCTTTATATCTTATTAACATAATACAATTGTAACTAAATGATGTCAGTATCCGCCGTGTGGTCCTGGCATAGAATAAGTTACCCTTAACTTTCCTAGAACCGAGTAAGGGAGGGCGAGGGATGGGCAGCAGCGTTCCTCTTAAAACATCTCTAAATCCTGACTGCGGTTGCCAATCCGCCTACCAACATGGCAACTACTGGCAACTACTGGCAAAACCCCCCAAGGGGGCTTATGTTCAGAAATGGACAGTTAAAGGCCGACATGATGATGATGATGACGTTAGTCTATGGGAGATACTTAAGAAAAATTAATATGAGAGATTTTAATAAGAGTAATATAAGCTAAAATAATAATTTCTCTCGTCTGTTTGTCCGTTTGTTCCAGTATCACGCAAAAACTACTGCACACATTTGGAAGCGGTTTTCACAGTAATATTCCTGAAGATCTGACGTAAATATTAATATATATTTCATCTTGATATGCTATTTTTTTATACCACGAAGGTAGTAAACAAACATATAAACATACCCATCTGATGGTAGACGGTCACTGTAGCTTATGGACATCTGCAACACTAGGGTTACAAAATTTCATTCAAGTCATGAGTTCAATGGAGCATTCATAGATTTTATATACGGTTATATAGTTTATTAATAACAAAACTGCTAAAAACTTTACCCAAATTTCTTCAAGCTCATTTCACTTTTCTTCAAGAATTTAATTTTTCCAATATTTCTTTAAGAAATTCTTTTACTTCACAAATTTCTTTAAGAAATTCATTTCTTTAAAATTTCGCCACTACAAAATTTTTATTCAATATTACGAAAAAAATACCCTATCTGGTAGACGATTGTGTACATATAACATGTTAAGAAAAAATAATATTAGAGGCTTAATAAGAGCAATAAATAAATTCTAAGAGGGACAATGCCCATCCCTCGCTCTCCCTTAGTCGCTTCCTATGATACCCACGAGAAAAGAAGGGGTGGCCTATTCTATGCCGGGATTATAGGGCCATGCGACATTATTAGAGAAAATTAAACAAAATCATGTAGATTCTGACAAACCATGCATCAGTTTTTAAATTGTGCTAATATAATAATGTAGGTACCTTAATTAGCAAATTTCGTTGAAATCCGTTTAGCAATTTCCTTGTAATGACATAACAAACAGACAGGCTTACATCATTTTCGTATTTATTATAGTTTAGATTAGATGTAAGTAATTGATATCATGAATTCTAAGAATACACAATAAAGTGCCTTGTTGAGGGATTTGGGGTAAACCCTTGTCCAACTTTGGCAAAGTTACGCAAATTGCTGATTTTGCAACCCTATCATCATACCATTTGACTATAAGTCGATAGTGATGTTGAAGGGTTTGAGAAATTCAATTTATATACTTTATTATTTTTACATCAAGAACACTTTTAAATGCGGATAAGGGAAAAATGAAAATTAAGGCTATTTCAAGAGGCACGGAGTATTATAAATGAGGACGATAAAATACTTAAAATATGATTTTGTTAAAAAAACCAGATAAGACAATAATGGGTGATAATGGAATAGTCATACCTTTCCCCTTTGTGTATATGAATATAATTCGTAATTGTGTAGTTAGAGGCACTTCACGACTGTTGCCATTGTGATGAACATAACGTGGTAATTACTGTGATAATCCAAAATCTCCAGAATAGAGTCAAAGAAAATTTCTATCTGATAATTGAATCGAATCGAAATTAGATTGTACCATGTGTAACTGGATGCAGGTATATCACAGACTAGACTAACTAAAACCTAGTTTTCATCATTTAAATTCGAGTAGTAAAACCTTTACGGTGTTGCTCTGTGTGAATGGACTGTAATACAAACAGGAAACGGATACGAGACAGCACAAAGGGAGATAAGTGAACTACAGTGCAAGGTCGACGCCGGCTGAATAATCCACGTTACCATAGCCTCGATGTATTTATAGAAACATATTGTTTTTCCTGTCCAAAAATGTTTTAAGCCAACTACCTACACAAAAATAGAAAGCAAATGTCAACTTCAACACCTATGCAAAATTTATATATTTCAGACATAGATTAAGAATAAGACTTTAGGCAACACGAGAAAAAAACTATTAGATATGCAAATTCTATTTTTAATTTATGATTAAATAATTAATCGTAAAATAATAGAAAAAGTTTATTAAAAAACATTAAAAAATTTGCTCTTTTCAAAATCTACCTCAAATATTTAAGTTTTTAATATGCTCTAGTTGTTAAGCCATCACATTGTATAAGATCTGTGTACCACTTGAATCGTGCTATATGTATTGAATCAGAATAAATAAATATTATTATTATTTATCTTTAAAAGCATCAACCTGAAATAAATGCTATTTCAAATATTTGTTTCTTTTTTAGATTTAAATTCTTAAAAAATTGGGATAACGCTTTTAAATTGTAATATAATGAAAATTTTTAATTAAAAGTTAGAATGAGGTTAAGGTTAGCATATCAAGACGAAACAAAATCATGTTTATGTTCCTATTTTTCAAAGATAAATAGAACCTGAGTAAGTGCATACATATAATTAGATATTAGTAACGTAAATTATTTTTAATTTAATTTAATTCAAACTTTTACTAGTTGTTAGCTACACATCCGGCTTTGCATTTTATGGTTTTAATTTTATAACAAAACATTAAATTTATCTACAAATTTGATTCATCATCGTCATCATACCAGCCATTAAATGTCCACTGCTGAACTCAGGCCTTCCTCTTGAGGAGTTTTGCCAGTAGTTGCACGCTTGGCAAGCGGGTTGGCCACAGTAGCTAGGCTTTGGTGATGTTTTAAAAGAAATGCTGCTGCCCATTCTTCGAGTATTAAGTTCCTTTAGTAGTCTCTCACGACACCCACGGGAAAGGAAAGGGTGGCCTATTTGATGGCGGTATCACACAGCAAATTTAATTAGGATATGTTATTACACACCAAAGTTCCCGTAAATAGCAGTGAAATCTTATCAAATCTGTTGCGTGGTTTAGAAGAAGTAAGATAGAAAAACAGACGCTAATAGCAAATTTATTTTCAGATAAATTGGACTGCACTTATAAGTAGCGGGAAAAGTTTAATTTAGAAATAAGTATCTAGTATTGTATATAAACAGGTAATATAATGCATGTAAATGTTTACAAATTGTTTTTATTTGTTTATATAGTAAGTAAGAGACCTTTGCCCAGCAATTGAATTTCAGGGATTATTATCCTACGGTAGCAAGATAAAACAAGAAAGAAAAGTGATCATAAAAAACTAATTTCAAATACTTTTAATAGCACCAAATTTCGATAACACCAATAAAACTTCAAAAAATGTACTCATATAAACTTATCTAAAGCAGAAAAAGAAGACACAACAGAATTCTTAAATTTCTTAATTATTTTGGCATCCTATATTATAAAAGTTTTTCCGAGTTTTTATCAAAAGTATAATTTACTTACTTGGCTCGTAATGAAAGCTGCCGGTCGTTAGGACAAACGAACTTGTTAGCTTTACTTTGACAGTTCATTATTTTTTAAACAAAAAATATAAACAACTGTTTCTTTTTTTGAATATACGCGGGAAAGTCGTTCCGCGCGTTCCCGCCTGTTGATTCCATCCAACTGTTGCTTCTCGTGTAAACTGTGGAGTGGAGGCTGCTATTAATCGATATTTTAACAGCGCTCTTGGAAATAGTAACAACGTGTGTAGCGAATCTCGTTCTATTCCCTTAGTGCGATGGTTTATCTATATTTCTCTATGGCAAACAAAATGCTTAATATTTGTAAAAAAAAATTAGATAAGCACAAGTTTTCTAAAACTAAGAAGTATATTTCCCTATACCCTGTACTTACAAACTTCAATTAAAAACAATGTAGGTTGGTATGTATGAATACAACCTGATTCTTGGATAACTCATTAATCATTTTTAGGGTTCCGCACTAAATATTAAAAACGAACTCGTATAGTGCGATTTTGTTCGTTCGTCTATCATAGTTATCTCACCAACTCCTAATGCTTGGAAAAGATTTAAAATTTGGAATATTTTTAAATGTTCCAAAATTGGCTCACACTTATAAATATGAAGAAATAATTCAAAAATATTTTTATATTCTTTGGTAGAGTATTCAAGTCTTTGTTCGTACATTCTAAAACTGTTTTTTTTTAATTCTTTTTACACTGTATCTTTATTGACTTATGTGATTGAAAGTGTAATCCCTTTCCCCCGGCACCAGTAAGGTATGATAGGTGAGAATGAAAAGGCAGGTCAGTTAATAAATCGTGATGAATACCTACATACAAAAATTTGAAAATACATTTGGAATTCAATATTACCATATACAATATAGTTAAGTATTTCCATATAAATGCTTCGCCAAAAACAGGTAACTTATTTATCCATGTGTGCCTGTAACCGGTTATAATTATGGTTAAATTGAAAAATAAAAGTGGCACAAAATTCCTATGAATTTGAAAGAATAAGATAAATAGCACGTAATGATACGTAATGATGCTTGTCTCTACTGATTATTTTGGTTTATATCAGATTAATAGACATATTATTTTATTTTTTAATTATTGAAAATGACCACCCTTTTAATTAATACATGATTATTGATTTATAAGTAATACATTCATATGTATACTTATATATATCAGAAAAAAATTGTTTTCTAAAGTTTTCCTTTATTTAAAAAAACATGTATCAAAATGTAGTTAACCCAACGAGTTTAACCTGTTTTTGACATTCGAAATTTTATTTAAGATTACAGACTTTCAGCCCTATGTGCATTATCTTTATGATTAGTAGATTGTATCTTAATAATTAAAGTTTATTTCATGTGTCAAACTATCGTAAGTTAATACTGGCGTTGCTGAAACATGTATAACTACCCTACTTCCTATGACTTTGCTCGCGTAAATTAGATTGTAAAGTACCTTATGTGTAAAGTTAGGATACCGCTTTCTTGTACATCAATTTTTATTCAAATATATTTAACCGAATAAACCTAATAGAGTATCAATCCTCCAAATATCTTCAGAAATTTTCACCTTCACAGTAAGACGGACAATCAGTTACAGTGTTGCAAGAGACAAAAGAGATATTTGGTAGGCACTACTCGTAATTTTACGTATACTTTAATGAATTAACGATCATTAATTATAGATAAAATAATAATTTGGTGCCTTTATTACAGAAGGCTATTAGAAATGTTTGTTTGTTTTTATCAACCGTTAACTGTCCAGTGCTGAATAGCATAGCCTCCCCAATAAAGGGGGTTTTGCCAGTAGTTGCTATGCTTGGCAGGCGGGTTGGTAACCGTAGTTTAGCTTTTGCTGATGTTTTAAGAGGCTGCTGCCCATTCTTCGACCTTAAGCCCCTCAGTTACATCTTACTACACCCACTGGAAAAGAAGGGTGGCATATTATATGCCGTGATCTAAATGGTTATTAGAAATATACTAAGTAATTATTCCTATAATTTAAGATTATTCCGTACTAGCATTTTGCCTCTTACTTCATACGTTTCGATTTTAAAAGCAGGAAAACCAATAAAATAGACTCCTAGATTGCGTATCAAAATAAAACAAATATCAGATTATAAATTATACAACTTAAAATATAAATTTTTAGGACTACAGTTGTGAATACCTTATCCCATTTGATGCTGAAATTTTTGCATGATGTCAGATCAAAGATACAGACAGACGTAATAGTCTTATTAAGATCCGTCATATTATTTTTTTCTTAAATATCTTCTATATTCAGACATCGTCTACTTAAAATTTTATTATATTAAAAAGACAAGATTTGCTTCAAAACAATTTTATTACTCAACAAAAACAATATGCAATATTGTATGATATTTAGAATAAGAAATATGCATATAGATCATTAGGTGTAAATTGTAACTTTTGTTTTTACACATGAACAGCATCATAGACATCACAGTATATACAGTGTCACCTATGGTAGCCCTCACTCGTTGTCACCCATCCCTAAGGTTCAATGCATTATGCCGCTATATCCTGCGATATTTCTTCCTTCAAACCTAAACATGGTCATGCAAGAGTTGCCATACTTTGATACGAAGGCTTATTCTAGTGAAATATAATTTTCAATCAAAGTTTTCAATAGGGAAATTAATGTAAATAAGTGAACTTTGAGAATAATTTGTGACATAATTTAATATTTGTTTTAGTAATGAAATGTAAAAAGTGATAAAAATTATAGAAATTAAATATAAAAACAAGTTTTTAAGGCGTCATAAAGTATTTTTTTTAATTACAAAATACGTGCATAATCATACGGTCTTAAATCCTAAGCGAACATAGGAATACTACAGTATAGTGCATTAATATACTTATAATCAACAAAAAAGAGAAAGTTTTCCCCTCAATGGCTGTCCATAGATATTATACTGAGGGTAATTTCTGCGTAAACAGATGGTTTCCTAGTGTCTAGATGAGTTAATGTATTGTTTATTGTTGAACACATTTATTTTTAAATCATTTACGATTACGTGCCAAAAGATAAAACTAATTCATAATGTGATTTTAGTTTCTCAATCGCTCTAAAGAGGAGGTCGCTTGTTAATCTTTACGTAATACAAAACAAGAAAAAATGAAGCGTGACAGCAAATATTTTATAATTTCGGCAATTTTGTGGCTTATATACATTATTTGCATAGATCGTAGATTTAAAATGTCTAGAAATTTATTTTTTTATTTACCGTGTAAATTTCCTACTGTGTTACTACGGTTTCGAAATGGCAGATCTACTGGTATTTCAATATCATAATAGCTGAATCATCACATAATAGCAGGTACTATTCTTAGTCTTTGCATCTTGCGAAATTGTGAACATTACAATAAATGTAGTTCCGAAAAAATGAATAAGTATTATAATAAATTACTAGTTATTTTGCGAAAATATAAAAGATTTTTCATTTAAAACCATAAAATACTGAGTATTTCTGTCTGTTTTCTGTTATGAATCATAGAAAATGTTTTTATAAATGACCATCTATGGAACTAATATAACCAATAACGTGTTATTTGTAACAAACTATTTTTATATAACCGTATTAGCTATATTCTGCTCCTCACTAATAAATTTGACATTTCGCTCTTTTTTTTGTTAGTAATAATAATGGCGCACTTGCGAAAGGTGGATCTGGTGAATAGTTTTCAGTAATTTTTATTTTTATGTCGTGCGGTGAAGTGAAAACAAGGTGATTTTAATGCCGTACCCGAGGCGTTTTTCCGCCAAGATGCCGGACTACGATGACGATGTAACCGTTGTCGATGTGTATGACTTGGCATCGGACATTGGCAAGGAATGTGAAATAATTATCGAGAAATATGGCCCTGACGCCGTAACAGCTTTATTGCCGAAGGTGATAAATGCACTTGAATTGCTGGAGAACTTGGCAGTGCGAAATGAGAAGGAAAATCAGGCGCTACAGGAGTTGACGGCGAAGATATCACAGTTGGAAAACGACAAGATCGAGAAGGCTGAGTACAGGCAACGCTTCGAAAAGGTATGTATTAAAGGTCATTGTTTATTAAATTGGTTGTTTTGTGCGTGCTGCTGAATTGAACGTACGAAATGTTAGTCGTTTCAACACCTGTATCGGGTGCAGTTGCAAAAGTCTGAAGCAGCGTTACTATTGCGCGACATTGACATCAGACGCCTCGCTGCACTATTATAATTACGAACTTTAGGTGGTTGTTAGTTGCATAGGTTATAGCTATTGACACTGGTTATTATACTGGATATGGTATTATGATAGATTAGTAATTGAATACTTATACTAATAATTTTTCCAAATGTGTATATATCAAATTCATCAATTAATGAATTTTCTTATTCTCATTATTTTATAATGCTCCTATAATTTATATCATGCATCATAAAATTGCATCATGATGTTTTCAAATGAAATAAATGCAGTATTTTCAAGCAACTTGCTCGAAGAGATGGTTTTCTATTCCGTATTTCCAAAAGAATATTTTGTTTATTTTATTCATGTTTCTGTTATTTACATTGATGGTTTTAATCCAACTTGGATAAGTATCTTTATGGATTTTTGATATGAATTCTATATCTCTGTAAGGAAAATATGTGCTTAACTTTTATTTGATATGTGTTATTAGGCTTCAGTTTTTTATTTATCAACTATTATAATTCCCAAGAGACAAAGGCTAAATTGTTTTAAAATTACTATATTTCTCTACTATGTCATATATTGTCTATATGACATAGTAGAGAAATATCCTTACTACTTAATATTATTAATGTGATAGTGAGTTATTTGTTTGTTACCACTTGGCACCTTAATGGCTTCACCAATTACTATGAAATTTTAAGATACAGGTATTATGTAGGATTGAGAATGACACTACTTTTGTGTTCCTCTTAGTGAACATATTCTGATTGTCCAGACAAAGTCAAGGGTAAAACCTAGTGATTTATATGTTTGCTTGCCAGTTATTATTTATTCTATATTATCATAATTATGAATTTGGGTCTCTGGCAATGTAGATATCTTTATTCATTAGGAGCTAGTTGTTGATGTCTATAAGACCTTGAACAATCAAATGAAGAAAGATAAAAACAGTTTATATAAGGAGGTTTAGTGAAGAAGCACATGCATGGGCTTTATTTTTTCAAATTTGTTTAATTTAACTTTCATACTTGTATATCTGTATTTAGACTTTTATATCTATATTTATACTTGTATATCTATATTTATACTTGTGTATATATATTTATATTTGTATATCTATATTTATACTTGTATATACATTAGGAATAGCCCTTGTTTATACTGGGTAAATTGGAGCCATTAGAATCTCTGTTTCATAATTCTCTAAAGGACATTAAAAAAAAAAAATAGAATGCACCATGTATGCATGTTTGAGAAAATGTAATTTTAGTACATTTGCATAGTATAAAGTAAAGCTATTTTACATATTATGGACTAAAACGGGGTTAAAAAGTAGTCTAGTTATTACCCTTAGGCAAATACAATGTGTACATATCTATATGACAATTAGACAAGTCATTATTGTGAGGATAATGGTTATCATTAAATGTAATTATGTATAGTTATATACTTGAGTAATTATCATAATTATGTAATTTACTAATTTATTATTTATTTATATAATATGTTTTAGCTATTAGTCAGATCACATACTTTTGTTTGATTTAGATAGTTCAGTAATAGAAAATGATGATAAAGATGATGATTTATTGTTATCTATTATTACTTTACATACTAGCTGCACTGTATATAAAAATATGTTTTAATGTTTTGAAGTCTCATCCTTCAAAGTTGAGGATAATTATGGTGTAGGTATGATTAGTCTCCTTTATTGCAGACAAAAATGTTCTTTAAAATTATTTTAATCCCCTAGAATATATTATTATTTAGAAGGAAATATGTCGACATGTAGTTAGTTTATTCCTGTTCCTATACCAAAACCATAGTTCATATTTATATGGCATAGTGTCACTTTATTTCAGTGTAAATCAAAATAATAATTAAATAATACAAAGTTGTAATGTCAATCTTATCTATATAAACAAGGTTATTCCTGTACTTTCACTTCACTATTACTATAAACTTTGAATATATAAAGTTAACATTAGATAATGATTTATAAAATTAGTGAAAGTTTCACTTTTATCAGTAAATTTAATGAGATATGCAAGATGAATCATCATCATCTTCCTACCCTTATCCCAATCATTTGGGGTCCATGTAATATAATTTAATCCATATTACAAAAAGATTTGGTTTTTAGTTTTACGACCAGCCACCTGCCTGACGTCAACCCTCTTTGGGAATGCAAGATGAATTTATATTAATATTAAGCAAGATGAATATTCTTAATATTAATCTAAATTAAGTTATAAATGTATCATCTATTACATTTATAAGACTTTAATACTGTTTAGTACTCAACCATGTTTTAATAATGAGAAGTTCACAGATTCTATGCTCGGTCAACTCAACAATTGTTGATGGAAGATTTTATACACATATTGTATCTGGGGATTTCAAATATGACTATCAACTTTCATTAAAATATGTTAAGTAATTTAATTGTAACTGTGACATAACTATATATTTCAAATAGTTATTATCAAAGAGAAAGACTTTCTGGCCCTTATGTTGCTTATGTGGCTGTTATACCTAGCTCAGTTTTGGACAAATTTATTAATAATAAATTTGTCCAAAACTGAGCTAGGTATAACAGCTTTTTTTATTGGTGTCCATTAGAAGATTCTGTTCCAGGCTCTTTTCCTTTAAAAACATATGTACTCTAAGACATGTATGTGCATAGGTATAAGTTCTGCATGCATTTTAGGGTGGGTACCAGACAAGTCTGGGGTGAGCACGACGCACACGGCCCTCCCTAAAATACGCCTACGTTAGTCTCCTAGTAAAATCGTGACGCATTTTAGCGTCGAAATATAATTAAATGTGTGTTGTCACTTTGAGTAGGTTTAGTGAAGTTATTGCAAGTTATTTCCCTGATTCAAGCTGCTTAATCCCTCTGAACTTCTTAAATATTGCATCTGTATATATGTATTAACTTGTAATATCTGCAGCTATTACAAACGGGACAAAATTCGATAGATATAACAAATTAATAAATATGTTTATGACTGTAACCCCTGATGGGTTAGTCAGAAACATTTGTCAACTATTACCATTTTATAGAACGTTGTATTCAACATTTCACTAAGCATATTTAAATGCACTATTATAAGAAGCGAGCCTACCGTCGTTTCTAGTATAAATCGGCGTTCTCCATAAAGTCAGTTGAAAATTAAATTAAATTATTAATGATACTTCTGATTTAATCTCAAAATATATCGGGCATGCACTAAAAAGGTCAATTCAAATTAATATATAGATATCCTTACGTATGACAACTTTAAAAGTATAGTATTGTATTTTGTGGAGTAATATGAGAGAGACCTATGTTCAGCAGTAGATGGATACATTGTAATAATAATGATGAGTAAATAGTCCTTATGTATATTTACGTGGTTATATTGATTTGTGTCAGCAGGAATTTTATTAATTAATCTACGTCATTTGTGACAAATGTACACACCGCAATAATGATACTTATTTTAGTCTAGGTACTTAAAAGCGTAATACAGATTCTTCTGTATTATAGCTTTTAAGTAATATAAAACGAATTTCTATTAGTTTTTTATTTAAATAAAAAAAAATGAGTATTTTCATTCGCGTTGTACCTTTATTACTGTTTATACCTATATGAATCGATTGGTGAGTAGTTGTAAAGAATATTACAGAACCTAAATTGTATGTTATAATCAACCCACTTGCAATCTAGTCTCGATTAAAGTGAATTTTATGTATAGAAAAATACTTTTTTTTTCTATTTCTTTACACCCACTTTATTTTCTTTATTACATAGTTAGAAGTCTGTGTCTGACGTATAAGTGTGGCCAATCTCATTCCGAACGGTTGAGCCAAAGTAAAGCCAATTTCACAGGCTAAACTGTTAGATATTATGCGGTCCCTCCCATATAAACCGAGGATCTTGATTGCTAGAGAAAGTGTGCTAAATTAATAACACGAGTTGAGATCTGACCTTTCTTTTGCGAAATATCTTCAAAGTCGACATTGTTAGCAAATTAAATATCTCATATATTTTTTCATTGGCGTTTGTTAGCTATAAATCGTAGACTAGCATTTCTCTACAGCTTTGACAATGTATTTTAGGATTTAGTCCCTTACAAGTACTGCAGAACTAAGTTAAAAATTATTGAGAGTATGTATTTGCTGTACAAAATTTACTTGTTAATGTATATTGGACACATTATTTACACAGCTTGCACTTTTTTTATATATAAAAATAAAATGGTAATTCCGCTAGCAGTATCGGTATACGGTAGTCGGGCACCAGGGTTAATAGGCGAGGATGCAATCAAGTTAGTTGGCCCATCAAGGCGAATTTTCTAAAAATTAATTAGAATGGTTTGATGGAGGGATTGTGAGAAGGTAGACCTTGCAAGGTATATTGCTTGTAATGGGGACTAAATTCCCATTACTTATATTCCCTTCCCCCTCATAATTTAAACTTAGATAAATTAAGATTAGGGTGAGAATACGATATGATGAATGACATATCGTATTCTCACCTTTTTCAATCTCAAGATGTCACTAGAAAACACTATAATTATAACATCCTTTCTCGAGGACCCGTATTCAATAGTGAAATATTATTACATTTATATAAATTCACTTGTAAAAAATAAGCTCCGCTAATATTTTCTATGTTACTTAGAAAGTTCTTTCTCTGCACGATCTTCGAGTCTGATATCGAATGTCGTATACCTTTCACTACACTATCACAGTCTAAAGAAGTCTTTCCCTTGTACCTATGCTCTTGTACTATATTTTTTAGTGATCATCAAATACGCTTGTTATGTTATTTATTTGTTGCATGGATTCACCCAATAATTTACTGATCATTTTAAAACAATTAA